GCGTGTGTGTGTGCGTGTGTGTGAGTGAGTGAGTGAGTGTGCGTGTGTGAGTTTAAGTGTGCATGAGAGTGTGAGTTTGAGTGTGCATGAGAGTGTGAGTTTGAGTGCATGAGAGTGTGTGAGTTTGAGTGTGCATGAGAGTGTGAGTTTGAGTGCATGAGTGAGTGTGAGTTTGAGTGTGCATGAGTGTGTGAGTGTGAGTGTGCGTGAGTGTGTGTGAGTTTGAGTGTGCATGAGTGTGTGTGAGTTTGAGTGTGCGTGAGTGTGTGTGTGATTCTGATTGTGCGTGAGTGTGTGTGAGTTCGAGTGCATGAGTGTGTGTGAGTTCGAGTGCATGAGTGTGTGTGAGTTTGAGTGTGCATGAGTGTGTGTGAGTTTGAGTGTGCATGAGTGTGTGTGAGTTTGAGAGTGCATGAGTGTGTGTGTGTGAGTTTCAGTGCACATTAGGGATATAATGATGCACCCCAAACATCGCAAAAATTATGTGACAATTCAAGTCAGTTGAGATGCTTAATGAATCACGATACAATTGGGGACGGGGGTTTATATGAATGTATCTCAGAGGGGAACTGACTGTCTCCAGAATATACAGTTGTGTGTGTTTGAGTGTGTGTGTGTGTGTGTTGTTATTGTCATGGGCCAGATGATATAAAACATTGTGATGGTGCTGAAAACAGGCTTCATTTTCTTTAAACCTGCTTTTTTAATTTTGGGTGAACAAGCATTTCTTGTGTTCATGTATGACATTAAACTTGTGTGTGTGTGTGTGTTTCCACAGGCAGCGAATCCCGGCTGTTGTCTGGAGGATTTCGTGCGCTGGTATTCTCCGAGAGATTACGTGGAGGAGGAAGGTGCGGATGAGGCGGGACAGACGGTCATACGGGGCGACCTGAGCACCCGCATGAAGATCCCTGGCAACATGTGGGTGGAGGCCTGGGAGACGGCCAAAGCCACACCGGCCCGCCGACAGAAGAGGCTGTTTGACGACACCAAAGAGGCTGAGAAGGTCAGAACACTGAGTCTGGATTCAGACTCTTTCCAGGAACACGATGAACTGGATCTGCTTTTGTCTTGTGTTGGATTAATATCACACGTTCATTTCAAGCCACACAAACATGATCATTCTGTCTTTATCTGCTCACTCTCATGCACTATAAAACACACACACGCATCCTTGCTTCCGTCAGAGCAGCCAATCAGAGCGCAGGCCTGCTGGAAGTGGGTTAAAACACAAGGTGTCGTTACTGCGGGACTCACTTTGGCAGGTTGAAAGTGAGTTCAGTAAACGCTGGCATCCGTGAAGGTTGCGTCTCTCTGTCCTTCAGCCGTCTGTCGCGTCCTCGTGGGGAAGCTGCAGGATTTACTCTGAATTAATTTGCTGATTTAATTTCTTCTGCTGTGTTTTGCTCCAGTAACGTGTCCTCGGTGACAGTCGTGCATGTGTTCTGCGGTCGCACGGCCTGAGGGGAAGCGTCTCACGAGCCGTACAGTACAGTACAGTAAAAACCTTCCCAGCGACCCACTGCATCTGTGATACTCAACCTACAGCGCATATTAAAATTACAGCTGAATAATTTAATAATTACATCAGTTAAAATTACACTTACAGTTAGAGGCGTTATATTAAAATAGTTCAACAGTTAAATCACTTAAAATTACATTTACAGTCCGAAACATTGTCTAAATAGTTTAACAATTAAAATGCTTAAAGCAAGGTTTAAAAAAAATATTATATTTAAATAATTTAACAAATAAAATGCCTCAAATTGAACTGAAAACTGAAGTGTGTGTGTGTGTGTGTGTGTGTGTGTG